TGTTGATTCTTTTTTTAACAGATGTGATGATCATTTGACTTTACATACCTTTTGCAGCATGGTGAAAACCAAACAATTTGTATAAAATGGGTGAGCCAAATTCGAATTCAAATTCACTGAAGTATTTGCTAGAGATTACTGAAAATTACGGTGTGCCACATAAACATCTCGTGCAACTCATCATCAAACATGGGATTTTACAGGTCAGATTGATCATATATCCCTTGATTATGGTTTTCAATTTATTATTCTTTTCTTCCTGCTCATCCCATCAAGATTATGCAGATATCAGTGGAAGTACCGTACGTTTCAAATCATGATACTTTTGACCTCTAAACTTTGTTCAGATACAAATAAAGCATTGCTTTCTTTTTCTTTTGCAGACTCATTATTTCTGCAACAAATTTGTTCAATATGTCCAGGTCTATAGCGCTGGAGGTAAGTTATTTTGAGCTGTATTTGATAATAAGATTTTGTTGTGATAATAACAAGATTTGATAATAATAAGATAATGGTAAGATTTTGTCAAATACTTCATATAGAGTAATTTAATTAAGGTATTTTTTTGTCGTCGTTCTCTTCACCTTTTCTTCATGAGTTTTCTTCACCTACGACTTTTTAAGACTTTCTTAAGCAGCTTCTTCAAATTTTATTACTTTATATAGATATATAGACTATATAGAGATAGTAATAACCTGCTGTATCGTGATTTTTATATCACCGGATTAGATGCATCTATAAGTTTCAGACAATATTATTACTCAACTAGATGATGGACAAGAGAAAATACTTATTGAAAAGTTAATCACTGTAATTAATAATGCTCTGGTTCCACTCTATCTTCGATTGATACAGACAGATGACGAATATGACGATAAGAACGGTTACATTGTACTGGTGGGTTGGACGGATATTTTTAAAATTGCAATTAATGTTTATCTCAATGTAATTTTTGGATGGCTTGATAAACTAGCAAGATTACTGAAATTGCTAAATACAATGTATCAGCTGCTTCTCAGCTGTGCGTTAAGTTTTAGTACGATTTTTCAAAAATCTCAATTCATCTTCTGCTCAATCATCGGTTGTTGATTGAGTAATTTTTTTATTCTCTTAGCTTAGTGACCAAAGACCAAGTGATTTTTTACGTGATGCATTTGGTTTAACGCAAACCGAAATTACGCTGTTCCATTTGTGGATAAGCGCTATTTGCAATAGTGAAAATGGTGAAATTTTGAAGCATGAAGCATTATCGATCGCTTCAGATTTGTTAGTGAAGGTTTGTACATAGTTTTTATAGCAGGAGCTTCCTGCTTTTATCATGTTTATGTAATCTGAAAGGATATCATATCTCTTTTCTGAAATTGTGTCACTTTTTTCTGTGTCTTTCCGGCTATACGGTCCTTTACTCTTTATAATAATGACAGCGGAAGTAAATTTATTCATGCATACATTTGCGGCATGGTTTGTAGGGGAAAAAAGTAGATGAAGAGGATCTCCTGCAACAGTTCGTTTCAAACAAATGGCTAATAATGGTTTGTCATTTTTATTGCTTTGTGTAATACTTTTTAAAATCCGAAATCCAGTTGCTTCATTTTATCATGACAGGCAGGTTCAAATTACTTACTCACCTCTAAAAAGGTATGTACGTGAGGTAGAAAATAGTACAAGCAATTTAAAACAGATAGAGTTTGATAACGGTGCTTAGCATATAATTGCTCCTATGATTCTGATGTGTTCAGAAGCAGATGTAATTAATGATAACTGGTTATAATATTTCCTAATTTTTTAAGGATAATGTAAATGCGACGATTCGTCTGGGTGCCCGTGGAATTGCAGAATTGCAAAATTATTTTAGCTCACATGCAAATGAATTTAAGCTCGAAAAATGCATTGTATGTGGCAAATTTATAGTTATGAAGAATCGTGCAGTTTTCTGCGAAACGTGTCGAAATTTTTCTCACAGACAATGCGGGCTGAAGTTAGTTTTGTACGAGTCGTATATTTTGTTTGTTTCTTTAAAGCTTTTTTAGCTCGAATAATTTCGTGACGTAATAACATTGGTTAAAAAAATTCTAACTATTGATATACTGAAAGCCACTTTAACAAGTGGAGCTAAGCCTTACTTCCTGACTATTCAGATTTCTTAAGGCTTTATAATTTGACAGAAATATGGGGAGTTGAAATAAACTTAACGATGATGACCTAAAACTTCCCTAACACTCAACTATAAAACAAGTGAAGATGGTGAATTAATCTTGTTTATGTTTCTTATTGTTTTTTGTCAATGCATTTCTTTCTTGCGAAGATAAAGATTGCGTAGTTCGTGTGCATCAAATAAACACGTTTTTTTCCGCGTTCGGATTTTTTAATTTACAGAATTATGAAATCTGTAAGAACGGGAAAAGTACTATGTCCAGGTAAATTGGCGAATGATGAATCGTGTACTGCAGAACTTCATATATCTACCGAAAGAGACAGTGTGAAACATGATCAGAAAGGTTTGTTTTTTCACTATTGTTCCCTAATAAAACATATGAATTCTTCCAAGATTTATGCTTTAGTCTTATCTAAAACTACGAATTTCATTAAAACTGAAAACGGGTATCTCTAAACGTATTGTAAACAAATATAATTAGAATGTGAATATCTGTATGTTGAAATATGGTTTAAATTACGTAAAAGTTATTTGTAAAGATTGTGTATATGACTTTTCCCTGCTCGCCATGAATAATCTCCTCACAAATTCGTTAATTTCATTTGCTTTTAAAGTGTCATGAAAATGAGAATGAGCAAAAAAGTGGTTTTTTTAAATTTTACCTAGAAGCTTCTGAAATATCAAAATTGATTGAAAATTAATTGGCATTTTTTTGCCAGAATTAGCAGTAATTATAAGAGAATCTGATACTGCTATGGTTGTTTATGGCATAGTTAAATTTGATTTGAATTATGCCAGAATTCCAATTTTTTTTAATGTACTATAATTTTCTTTCCTAGCCATATCCAGGATGGAATTCAAAAATTGAGTGTATATTTAACAGAACATATTCTAGGTAATCGTAAACGTCGTATTGCAAATGACTTTGAGGAACAAGATGGATATGATATCGATAGTACAGAAAAATTTCATGATGCAGAAATGTAACTGTCTTCTTTGGAAATCTTGTGCTACATTTTCAGGATATGTCGATTTTTTTTGTTTGATTTAGAAATCAATTTTGAATTGTTTACATAATAACCTTGTTATGTAATCGTCTCTTAAACTTTTCATTTATTTTTATTTTTTGGTGAATAAAGATATTTCACTTATAGTGAAATAATATTTATAGTAAATCTTTCAAGTAACGTTAAAAAAATGAAGCATAATGTGATCTGTAATATGATGATCTTTTTAAATGTGCATTTGCAATAACATCAGTGATATTGTGTTTGTGGTATAAAATTAATTATAATTGAGATTTTATGCGGGATTGTTGGCATTGATCGAAGGTATTAAGGTTTATATCTATATTTTGTTTCCTTAACGCTCTCTGTGACCATTTCATTCATTCACTGCTGCATTTTTTTTGTATTATAAGCTGGTACATCAACTTTACTGATATCCTCCCGAAAATAGTAACTTTTTTTTTACAGGTTTTCCGGTTAAGAACTGTTATGGATTCTGAAGAAGTCGATTTAGAAACGGTAAGTCATTCCTTTGAGGTGGTTAGCCTTCCGATATTTTTATTGTATTACCAAATATCTAAAATGTTTTCATCCGAAATCCTTCAATGTAATATGCAAGACAATTTTTTTTTAAATGACCACTCATGTCGCATGTTTACGCAAAGAGATGAATAAGGAAAAAAACATTCATTTGGAAGGAGGAAATTAGAAGTTTGACTATTCAGTCAACTAATTAGATATTGCTTAAAATATAAAAGAAAAGCTATTGCTTTCTTATATCTACATTTTGCCATTTTTCTCTGCTACAGATCACAGTTTGAGAAAATATTTGAAAATAAAATGATTGGATTGTAAATTATTTAGCAGACATCTGTAAGAAAACCAACGATGAAACAATACAAGACAAATATTTTTCTCTTAGAGCTTGAAATAAAATTTCTATTCCCGAGCTAAAGATGTTTATTGAAATATAACGAACTGTTTAGTAATGAAAAAACGGATCACAAAACATTGCGTTAATTTGTCTAGGAAGTGTAAATGTCCATATTTTGAAAAGAGATTCTAAAGTTTTATGAAAGTTATCATGATTGTTGTTTAATTTTTTAGCCAGCTGGTACTTTGGCTGATTCATTGGCGCAAATTTTTATGATGACAACCAGGGTTGAGCTGCGACAACAGGCATATCAGATGGTTGGTGTTGAGAATAATCGTGATTTTGCTCTCGCTGTCGAGGCACGTCTCAATGAATACTTCCAAAGTAAACAGCGTAAATTGGACAGAAGGTTTGCATAGTTAATCTTTTCAAATTCTTATAGAAATAACAAAAGCTATTGGTTTCAACGATTCTATTTTTGTGGAGTAATGGCTTGAATATTTTATTGTTTTAAGACAATAAAAGAGAAAAAATTCTTCAAACCTAAATTAATAAGAAACTAAAATATGTTAAACAAATTTGGAAGAATGCTCATTATGCAATGACCTACAAGTATGCTATAGAAGAATTTCTTAAAATTTTATGAAACTTTGAATATAGAAGATTGATGATGGAATGAAGCTTGTCATTTATTACTTGGATGTCTTTTTAATATTCTCATTTCTTTTTATTAATTTTGAGATCAATTTTGCAAATACGTGAAGAGAAGGATGATGCAAGTGTAATTTTGGAACATTTCTTGAAAACTGCAGGTTTACCTCCAGATGCTGTGGAAAAGTTTAGCTCAAAGAAGTAATATTTTCTCCGCTGAGCTATCGTACTTTTGGTGGAATTTTTCAGTTTATTTGATGTTTTCTTCGCTATTTAAATCATTTCATTATTTTATTATTATTATTATTCGAAAAATGACACTTCGTTACTGGAAAATGACACTTCTTATTTATTACTTATTTATGTAATTGAAGCTTCCTTATTCAAAATATACGAAACTAACTGAATGTGAATATTGTTCTAAAAATACTTTCCTTTCCATATATCTTTCCTCTAATTTTTAATTGTACTTTAATTTCGTACATAGTGTTTCCTGTTATCTCCTGGTTTTTTCTATACATCTAACAAAAAATTATATAACTTAATTTTTCTTATTTCAGTTTATACGCTCGAATTAAAAAGCTTGAGGAAACTGTAAATCAAAGAAGTCTCATAAAAAGTTATCTGGTTTGTGAATTAACATCCTATTTTTTTCACTTTTCGTCATAAATGATTTTAAATAACACTGAGATTGTTTTCTTTTTTTCAAAATTTTCGAACTTTTTTTTACTTTCTGTAAGTCTGAAGAATTAAATTAATTAATTTTAAAAATTAACTGTCCTTTTCTTTTACAGTAGCATATTTTCCTTTCATTAAAATAACAGGTGATAAAAAGAGGTGAAGAGAAAATAAAAGTAGCTTATTCGATAGCAAAATGGGACATTAAATTTGTTTGCTAGATTGACCATTTGAAGAGTCACTCTGTTTTGGTAACTGAAAGGTGAAAGTAAAGCAAAAGGTTAGGGATATAAATTTTTGTTTCATTTTTTTAATGTTTCAACTTCACAGGCTGAAAACTGAAATGATGTATTTCTTCTATTTATTGAGCTTGAAAACATACGAGGAAGGAAGAGATGAAGTCTACATGGGCTTCATCTTTTTTTCTCGTGAAATAATTGAATTAATTATATTTCTGAAAAGGATAAGAGGAGCTAAATAAGCATGTTATTTTCTAACTTTGATAAGATTAAGGAAACATTTCCAGAATTGTTTGCATCCATTTCTGCTGAAAATTTGCTAAAAAATATTCATTGTGGTGAGTGATGTTCCAATTAAAAGGCGAGAAATTAAAGAGATATCGCATCATATCATTTTGCAAATGTTAATGTAGAAGATAATATTAAGATCTAGGAAGTATGGCGTAAATTCATCGGTTTTATTCGGTATCATTTTTTTTTTGCGTGGGAAATATATTAAATTATGTTGGTGAATCTTCTAAGCAACCGTATCTCTTTTTTGATAGGAAATGAAAGGTGCAAGAAAATTTACGAAAATTTAAGAATTCCAAGTATGATCTCTTTTTAACATAATTTACAACTGCCATCATCTCTTCTTGAAAGTCTGTACTTGGCATTTAACTCGCTGATATGATAAGTGATATAGGTAATAGATTTTACGATATAATTTGCTTAAAGTGCATTATGGATAAGCACTTAGAATCATTTTACGAAATATTACATTAACATTATTGTGTGATATAATCATAAATAGCCATAGCAGTTTTTAATATGAATAGAAGATAATTGTTTCTTATAATACTTGGCTATCTAAAATTTTTTAATGTTATTTCATGCATGCAACAGTTTCTATATGCATACTATGCGAATAAAAAATTAAAATTATATTATTAGGTTCTGAATTTTAAGCAATAAAAATTATCTAGGATATAATTATACGTAGTAGGTAATGTTGATACAAATACGAATTATCAGTCAATGAATTATTTGAACTGTGTTAGAAGGAACTAATTTTAGAATATCTTATGTAATATTTACAGGTAGAGATGAAAAATGATGGCCCGTCGAATATTCCAGGTTACCAAGGTTATTTTGCAGTATCTCTATTAACTAATACAATGGAATGTTTGCATGTTTATCAATTTCTTCGTAATATTTTGAAGAATAAAAATATAAGAGTGATGAGTGATAGCATCTGATTAGTTTAGCTGATAAATGGAAATGTTGCTTAATCAGTTGTAAATATTATGAAGAGTAGCAATGAGTAATATTTTTCGCATATCATAAAATATTTCTCTTTAAAATTTCTTTCCCGTTATGTAGCCAATCAATATATTTAGATCGTAGTAATTACAATCGAAAAGAACTTGGTTTTGTTGAAGCTGTTCCATCTATTATTGATGATGAATTTTCTGATTCCAGTGAAGATGATGTTCCGGATATGTTTTTAATAAAGGTAATA